CCAGGCCAGTCAGGGCTACACAGTGAAACCCTATCTAATAATAATAATAATGAATAAAATAAAATAAAAATTAACTCAAACACCCCTCCCCCTAAACTTCCACCAAGGCTTCACCTGACTTTTCAGGGGCTCCTGATGAGAACCGTCATTCTGATTACCTGGTGTCACTGCACCTGTGAGTTGCTAGGCTTGGGAGTCTCAAATCACTGTCCTTGGTACTCAGGTCAGGGATCTTTGTACAATGGCTGTGTCTCCCCCATCAGACTTAGAGTCCTTGAGGGCTCTGTCTCCCGCATCAGACTGGGAATTTGCTTTTCTGACTCATTTTGATCAGCCTAATCCACCTGGCTGTCTGAGGAGACCATCCAACTCCAGTTGGAAGTTTAAGGTCAGCTTGTGACTTTCCCAGATTCCCGAGAAAGGTCTCTCATCTGGCCCCTGGGGCTCCTTGGCAGGGCAGGTCTCTAGAAGTAGCCTGTAGCCCCCAAGCAGCCCCCAGGTAAGCCCCATAGCTGTGGGTTCTGGTCCTAGCTCTGTTCCTACCTAGCCTTGGTCTCCATATCTGTACAGCGAGTTCAGGACTAGGTAGATCTCAGTTCAGTAGACCAAGTCCTCTATAGAGATGCTGTGCCATTAGAACAAGGTCTCCCTTCTGGATGAATGTAGCCTTATAGTTATGGCTTGTCCGAGGTGACACCTCAATGCTAAGAAAAAGGCACAGTGCCCACGGTAAGCTTCAGGGTCAAAGGACCAGAATGGGGGCAGAATTTCAGTCCCTCCACATCACTGGGCACCAGTATGCAGGGCACAGTGTCATAACCTTGAGCCCTGGATGGGTCTGAGCTGCCAGCCCTGGTACTTTCTGGGTCAATTGGCCAAGGGCAAAGAGAACGTGAAAATTTAGAACGACACTGTCTCTGTCTGCCCCCTGGTGGTCATAGGATGCATGATACACAGCGCTAAAGCACCTTAAAGCTTTTAGAGAGGCCTTGGTAGGGGCCTCCTCTGCCTGCTACTCTCAATTAACCCTCTCCAGCCCGTGTATGTTCTCAAGCATCTCCCTGGACCCTGAGGCCATCTGTAGTTAGGGCAGAATTGCATGTAAAGATCTGGAAGAAAGGGCTGGATTTGGGTGAGGGTCCGATGACCTTCCCCACCCCCTCCTCAGAGTGAGCACCAACAATCAGCAAGACCATGGCCTCCCTGCTTCCAAACATCTCTGTATAGTCCTCCACCAGTTCTTCCTGTCAACACCTTACCCAACCTTCAAAATTTCATTTTAGGATCACCATAGACTTGAGACTGTCCCCATGGCCCTTGGCAGAAACTGCTCCCTTCTCACAGGCTCCACTGGCCTGGGATGCAGCACCTTCCACCCTGACCCTGGGCTATTTTCACACGAGGCTCTCTACAGTGTCCCCACTGACCCTGGGAATGCCAGGCAGGGACCAGTCTGATTCATCACCGTAGTGGCTTCTGCAGATGAATTTTCCTCCCATCCAGCCCTGCGGCATCCCTTCTCCACGGTCCAGTGCCCAGAACAGGGCGAGATCTCAGGGCTGCAAATGTCTGCTGATGGATAGCCATGGGAGGGGGCTTGGCCTGTGTCCCCAAGATCAGGCCTGGATAGCAGGATGTGAAGGGTGACGGGCACAGCCTGGCACTATCTCCCTGGTTTTCCTCCCCTTTCTGCCATGAGTGGGCGTGGCAGGAGGCAGGAGGTCACAGGGTTGATGGAGTGTGGGGTGAGCTGGGAAAGGACAGGCCACCCCAGGGAGGACAGTCACACATCTTGGAACTGTCTGAACATTGTCTGTTTCAGCAGAATCCCAAGGACTAGAAAGGTGAATGTGGATGTGCAAGGAAGAGCCAATTGCCCCCACATGGTCCAGTCACAGGATGGTGCCAGTGATGGGCTGGCTGGCAGGAGACCTAGGTGCTAATCTCTGTTCTGCTATCAATAAGCTGTGTGACCTTAGGCAGATCCCTGTCCCTCTCTGAGTGCCAGTTCGTACAATGACAAGATTGAGTCAGTAGAGAGCTGAGGAGCATAAACACATGGGTCAGCCAGAAGCATCCATTCTAGCCCATCTACACCTCTGAGTTGGCAAGACAGGAACCCTTGATGGGGCCCCTGCTCAGCTTCTCCTCGACAGTGAGGTGGTCCCTAGGCAGAACACAATGTGGTATTCCCTAGGCAGTCCCTGCCCTGTGAGCTGTCCTTCCCCTCCTCTCTGCAGGGATGCCCCTTCAATCCCTCTGGCCCAGAGCTGTCATGTTGCCAGCAGGAGCATCAGAAGCTATAACTGAGCTCCCGTTCTTGCGTCATGGTGAGTCAGAGCTGTCTCTTCAAGCCAGGTCCTTACACTCTCCACAGGGATACGAAGGACATGTCTGTCTCCCAGCCCCAGGCCACACACTTAGGGTAGGACCAGAGCCCAGCCATAGACAGACCTATCTTTCCTTCTCCATATGTGAACAGGAACCCTGACACTGAGCGAGGCACCCAGGACCCTTGTGATAAAGATGGTCCCTTCAGGGCCATCTCCGTGAGGTAAGACTTGGAGGGCAGAGCACAGGGCCCTGAGCAGCTGTGACAAAACATTGCATTCTCTGAAGGGTAGACAGTCAAGTGTTCATAATGCTTCACATTACGAGTTATAGTCTTCTGTCCCTCTGTGGGTATAGGAAGCTGCGGTGACCTGCATTTTTGCTGTCATTAGTTGTCCCTTTCGATCCACCAGGGGATCCAGTCACCAGGGCCTCAAGCCCCTATGTGAAACGACGTATTGGCTCATAATGCATGCACATTCCTCCATACACTTTTTTTCTTATTCTTTTTATTTTTTGAGGCAAGGTATCAAATAACCCAGGCTGACCTCGAACTTGCTATGTAGCCAAGGATGACCTTGAACTTCTGATCCTCTTGCTTCCATCTCCCTTGTGCTGGGATGACAGTGTGACATCACTTCTGGCTCCTATCTACTTTCAGTCAAACTGTCTTGAGGTTTCTTATGCAAATGCTGTGGGAAGAGCTGTTGTCCTGGATTGTGTAGGAAACAGTGACAAGAGGTCTGAGAATGTACAGACTCAAATTGATGTCTGGATACTTTTAGTCTGTAGTTGGGACGCCACAGAAATGAAGAACTCAAGAATATGGGGGTGTGTGACTGTATTTCTTTTTATCTGTAAGTACCTACTACGTGTCAGTCATTTGGCATACATTCACTACCCTTCATAAGCACCTACTATGTCTCAGCCATCTAGCATACATTCACATAGCAACCCCATCTCACTAGATATTCTTCCTACTAGTTAACTGGTAGAAAGCTGAGGACCCAGGAGGTGAAACCACTTATCCAAGGTCACATGACTTGTGTGAGTTGAGCCCTTATTCATACCTAGGTCTGATAACACCAGGGGCCAGGCATGGATCCAGCTTCTTCCACTGGCTTTACTCAGTAGCTCAACTGCCCAGGTATCCCACCATGCCCAGGCTCGACTTCTGTTTTGCACATCAGCCCAGCCCCTTGCCTTAAACCATATTCGTCCTGCAGGTCTGTCTCAGGGACATGTGTCTGGCCTGGTAAACAGATTCAGTCACTCCTTTGCCTGGGAACTGGTAGACTCAGGGATGGAGAGAGGGAGGGAGCACAGGTTGCCTCAGGACACCAAGTGCTTCGGGCTTAGCAACGTTAGCTAACGAACTTCAAGTCGCTCTCCCCAGAAGCTGGGATGAGTGTGTGTGAGTGCAAGTGTGTGCAAGTGTGACTGCACACTGTGTGTGGATATGTGGGAAATGGAGAGTGCACTCTCAGGAAAGTCCCAGCAGTTAGTAAGTTTTCTGCTGCTTCACAACACATGCCCCTGGGATAGAGAAAATGACTTGTGCCTCAGTTTACCTGTGCTAGAGGAGCTCTGGGAGGTAGCTTGCCTTCCTTTATGACACTTCTGTCCAACCAGGAGGCCTTTAGTGCAGTGCCCTGATCCTCTGTGCTCCCACCCTGGGCAGGTATCCTCCAATGACCAGGTGCCTGTCAATAGCCCTGACTCTCTGGATTCAGCTCAGTCAGGAAGCCTGATAACTTGAGTTTGGTCCCAGGGACCTACACAGTGGAAGGAAAGGATGGACTCAGGCAAGATGTCTGCTGACCTCCACACTCATGTTGTGCAGGGGTGCTCATGGGCACACACACATAAATAAGTGAATGAATGAATAAATAAATATTTTAGAAAGCGCCCTGACCCTCTCAACTGAGGGCTGTGAAGCCTCAGGTCTTCCTCTGCAACTGCCCACAAGGGGGTAAGACATCCCTGAGCTCTTTTGTGTGATTGACTTTGAGCTTCATTGCCAGAAATCCCTCATCCCTGCCCCATCCCCTGACCTTGAGCTCAGGTGGCACGCGAGATCTCCGAGGTCTTCCTTCCAGGGCCCTGTCCTGGGGATCCAGGACCCGGACAACAGGTGCACCGGTGGCGGAGGGGGCGGGGCGCACCCAGCACCGCCCTGCTCTCCCCGGGTCCCCGCCCCCCGCGATGTCGCCCGCCCCTGGCAGCAGCGGGTGCGGCGGGAGGCGATAGGGACACGGTGGCAGCGGTGGGGACAACGACCCGGACGCCCGCCGAGGCCGA